CCCCTCACTCTTCTCACTTTGCATTGTCTGTTGCTTCTGCAGCACGTGCAGAGTTCCATTTGGGTAGATGTAGCCTCCCCCCAAAGCCTGATACAAATAACTTGTAATGAAATCTATCTCTCTACTGGTTAAGTTGCTGCCTGGCTGGAAGAGGCTCGAGCATTGCAGCTTTCTGGGCACGATAAAACTACAAATGCTTAAGCTCTGAATCAGAGTTATGCAGGCCCCTGGACTTGGTAGATTCCTGAGCCTATTATGCTCAGCTCTCCCTTCAAACCTTGTGATAAGAAGCATTCCCCCTTTTTTTTTCCCCCTTTTTTCTTCTCTCCCTTCCCATGATGAGCACTCGATGCTTCTTTCTTTGTCCTGGTGCTATTATTAACCCAGAGGCTTCCAACTGAATCCTTAACTATTTCATTCACTTCTCTTCCGTGGTCCAATACAAGAGTTTGCTCTGGTAAGGAAGACAAACTCCAGCCAGGACCTGACAGGAATGTTCTCCTCCCTTTCTTCTCGTTTAACACTAAATTCCAACACTTAGCCCCGGGGGGAACAAAGACCCAAAGCTCTTCCTGACACCAGTTAACTCGAACATTCAACACTTCCAGCTTGCAGGGAAAAGAACGTGGGAGTCTGTACAACACAAGGGCAGGCAGACCCGAGCCCTGGAGCTCAAGGAGCTGCTCTGCTTTCTCTGCCTGTCCCAGTCCGTGCGTTTCACCCCGATGCTGCCGTTACCGTCTGCGTGTTACCGGAGGCATGTCCCAAATGTGAAACGTTATCGCTCTCCACGCAGCAACACACGGCGTCTCTCAGTAGAGGAGACACTGGCACATGGATTTACAGGACCCCCCCTTCCTGAACCCAGCGCATTCTTGTTCAGTTTGAGCGAAGCAGTAAAACCAGGTGATTTTGGTACTTTTTGCTCCGGTGCAACGGGTGCTTAGGGCCGTCCTCGCTGTCTTCATTAAAACTCCTCTTAAACGTAGCAGCTCTACCAAACCTTGCCTTAGAACACCCTGACAACGTTAACTCATGAATGAGAGAGTGCTGCTGCTCGGTTTGGGCTGCCAGGCAGCGAGGGGAGAGCCACGGACAGCGTGACAGCCCCCTCCACAAAGAGAACACCCCCCGAGAGGACGCAAAGCACGCGTCAAACAGCCCCTTACCTGGTAGATCATGACTTTGAAGTTCCTGCGTTTCAGGAGCTCTGCTTCGTTGGCCTCCAGCTTCTTTATCTGCCCCGCTTGTTTCTCCAGGTTCTGCCGAACCGTCTTCACGTTCACGCTCACCTTGCGCACCTTCTCCAGCATCTTGTTCACGGTGTTGCTGGTGGTGGTGTGAGCCTTTGTCAGCTTGGTCAGCTCTCCCTGGATGCTGGTCACGGCGCTATCCATGTCTTGCTGTCTCTCCTCCAGCTGCGTTTGGGTCAGCTGGATCTGATCCACCGCTCCAATGATCTTGTCCAGAAGGGTCAGCACCATCACGCCATTGATCTGGTCCGGTTTGATGGGTTCTTCGGGCACGGGCTCCTCGGAGGCCTCAGAAACAGTCGGTGCTTCGATGATCTGCAGAGTCGTCTCCTCCATGACGGCTCGGGAGTCGTGGCGAGCAGAGCCCGGGAAGCTGTCACTGCAGGGACAGAGAGGAGGGGAAGCTAAACCCGAGCCTCAGCTAAACCCTGCGCTGGGAGCCGCGCCAGGAACGGGGAGCGCAGCGTGGGGATGCCTGCGCTGCGCTGCAAATGGCACAGCCCCGCAGAGCCCTCCAGCCAAAGGGCCCTGCTAAAGCCTCCAGGCTTGCAGGTCATTGGCTGACTCCACCTCAGCAAAGGACCCGCTGCCAAATGCCTCTGACCCACCCTTTCTGAAATGACTAAAATAGTTGGAGGGGAGGCGATGGCTCCGCATGCAAACACGGGCGCAGCTCAGCCGGGAATGCAAGGCTCTGACACGACAACCACCTCCTCTGCACCACGAGCCCAAAGGAACGAGAGGAGAAACGACAAGCCTCGAGTAAATAAATGCTCAGGAAGCTGCTGGAAAGAAGCTGTCCCCCATCCGGGCACAGCTGCGTGCAGTAAAGGAAGGCTGCTTCACACAACTGCACACGCTCAAGTTCAGCTGGAAAAACTCACGTCTTCTGCCAGTACTCAGGGGCTGGGTTTGTTTTCCAGGACTCCAAGAGCCTGAGGTCAATAGAAATGCTTCCATCTGGGTTGGGTAGTGACAGCACATTAACCCCATGCACATGCAGGCTCCCACGTGTGTGAACGGCCACACGGTACAAACCTCTCCCCGCAGGTTTAGCACAGAGGAGGAGAATTCGCTCCTGCAGGGAAGCCCCCCGGGCATCCCCACCTCAGCGCAGCTCCCTCGGCTCTGCCGTCCTTCATCCGCTGACAAACCGAGGCCAGGCTTTGGGAAGCAGGACACGCTTCTCACCAGCCCTGCTGCGGTGCAATGCCCAAACACACTGTGTTAACTGAGGCTTTATTGGCAAAACAAAACCCCTGTTGCGGAACCCGCTCGCGTATGTATCGCTTTGGAAACCACGGGGGAGAGGTAATCCTTCTTTTGCTAACTTTAACCTCAGCATTGGCACCAAGCAATTCAGAGCCTTGTGTAGCGCTGGCAGCTGACACCTCGCGGAGCCATCACTTAGAACACAGTGGGGAGGTGGCACCGGGGGCTGCCGACGGCACCTCCCCAGGACCACGGCAGGAACGTGAAGGAGAATTCAGCCCCGGAGAGCGGCAATGGGCAGACTGGGAAGGCAGCACCTTCCCTCTCCTCCCGCAGCCCTGCAGCCGGGGATCTGCACTCAGCACATCCTGCCTCCGCAGCGGTCAAGCCTGCAAGCGCCCTGCAGCATTCCCGGGCTCACCGCCTGCCTGGGACAGCGGAGCAACCCCGCATCCCGGGCTGGGAAACCCACAGGACACAGTGTACAGGGGCATTGTTCCCTGCTGAATGCTCCCCACAGTCAGCACTTTCCCTGCCCCTGTGCTCTCCCCGCCATGTGACAGCTTTTCTCTGCTGCAGCTCCGCTCTCGCTCTCTCTGTGCATCAGTCGCTCCTGCTGCGGGACTTCCACAATAGCCATTATGTCATGGATTAAAAACAGCTTGTTTTGCTACGCCCTGGTTTTTCCTGGAGGGACCCTTTTCTTTTCCTGAGCATTTCTTTCCAGTGTTTGCTGCCGATGAGTCAGTGCCGTGAAAAAAACCCTGGTTCCAGTAAGGCAGCGCTGAGGCTCTGCAGTTCTCACTGGGAATATCTGCCTCGGAGTGCATTGCCACAGGGATCTGCTGGTGATTTCTGTGTACAGGGCAGGAGGCAGAGCAGCGCGCTCTGTATCTGCCATCTATTCCATGTGGCACTTCAGTGCAGGCTCTGCTGCCCCATTTGGGAATCAGCCTGCACTTTGGACAGAATGAGTCCAACAGCAGCAGGAGAGGTGCTGTGCTGCCGTGTTGCTGTGTGCAGCCCTCACCCCCTGAGCTGAACCACTGTGAGTAATGTTCCATGTTAGGACATTTCATTTTCACACCAGGAAAAGCCAAGAGGTGGCAACCGGCAGCCTCCCCCTCGGGAGCACCAGGACACTGGACCTGGACTCAAGCCCTTCCAGCACAGCCAATGTCTTGCTGCTTGGTGGATCTTTCATCCCTGGCTCTTCCATGCTGGTGCCATGGCCTAGATCCCACGGCAGCACCAGGGATGAGCTCAGAGCATCACACACACGTGGGATCCTAGCATGGTCTGGGTTGGAACGGACCTTAAAGCACCTCCAGCTCCAACCCCTGCCATGACCAGGGACCCCTTCCACTAGAGCAGCTTGCTCCAAGCCCCTGTGTCCAACCTGGCCTTGAACACTGCCAGGGATGGGGCAGCCACAGCTTCTCTGGGCACCCTGTGCCAGCGCCTCAGCACCTCATCGCCATTAATCACAAGCATTTAACCCTCAAGAGCTGCTCCTGCTCTTGTGCCCATGTCTGTGCCCATGTCCGTGCCCATTCCCATGTTCATGCCCATGTCCATGTCCGTGCCCATGTCCATGTCCATGTCCGTGCCCATGTCCATGTCCGTGCCCATGTCTGTGCCCGTGCCCATGTCCGTGCCCATGTCCATGACTGTGCCCCTGTCCGTGTCCGTGCCCATGTCTGTGTCTGTTCCCATGACCGTGCCCATGTCCGTGTCTGTTCCCATGACCGTACCCATGTCCATGCCCCTGTCCATGTCCGTGCCCATGTCCGTGCCCCTGTCCGTGTCCGTGCCCATGTCCGTGCCCATGTCTGTGCCCCTCTCCATGCCCGTGCCCATGTCCGTGCCCATGTCCGTGTCCATGCCCCTGTCCATGTCCGTGCCCCTGTCCGTGTCCGTGCCCCTGTCCATGTCCGTGCCCATGTCCATGCCCATGTCTGTGCCCCTCTCCATGTCCGTGCCCATGTCCGTGCCCATGTCTGTGTCTGTTCCCATGTCCGTGTTCATGTCCGTGCCCATGTCCATGTCCGTGCCCATTCCCATGTCCGTGCCCATTCCCATGTCCGTGCCCATGCCCATGTCCGTGCCCCTGCCAATGTCCGTGCCCATGTCCGTGCCCCTCTCCATGTCTGTGTCTGTTCCCATGACCGTGCCCATGTCCATGACTGTGCCCCTGTCCGTGTCCGTGCCCATGTCCGTGCCCATGTCTGTGCCCCTCTCCATGTCCGTGCCCGTGTCTGTGTCCGTGCCCCGTAGCGGAGGCGAGGCCACGCCCTCACGCCTACGTCACGGCGTCACCGCTTGCGTCAGGTGACGTAACCAACCCTGCAGAGCAGCGGCCGCTGCGTCTCCTCCCGCCCTGTGACATCACTTCCGCTGCGGGTGCCCAGCCGAGCAGCGCCGTCGCTAGGAGACGGGGCCCGCGTGACCCCGCCCCGCGTGCGTGGTGACGTCAGCGGCGTCAGCGACGGCAGCCTCTGCGGGTCAGGCGGCGGCGGCGGGTGCGGAGCGGAGCGGGGCGCTGTGGCAGGTAACGCGGGCACCGGCGTGGGCCTGGCCGCTCCCCCGAGGGGCACCGCGGCGGCTGCCGTGTGCGCTCGGCTCCGGTTGTCACGGCGTTTGTCCTCAGGGGCCGCGGCGGGGCCGGCGCCGCCATGGGGGAGCTGTTCCGCAGCGAGGAGATGACCCTGGCCCAGCTTTTCCTGCAGTCCGAGGCCGCCTACTGCTGTGTCAGCGAGCTGGGCGAGCTGGGCAAGGTCCAGTTCCGCGATGTGAGTACTCGCCGGTACCGAGCCCCCGGGCCCGGTGGTACCCGCCCCGTGCCTGCCGGGCCCCGCGGCTGAGCGCTGCGACCGCGTTTGTTTCTCTGTGTCCGCAGCTGAACCCGGACGTGAACGTGTTCCAGCGCAAGTTCGTCAATGAAGTCCGGAGGTGTGAGGAGATGGACCGAAAGCTCCGTACGTGGCTTCCGTAGGGCTCCGTTCTGGCCTTCGCCAGCAGAAGCAAGCACTGAGGTTAACCCTGCAAGGCAGTGTCAGGCACCCGAGGGGCGGAGGCTGCCGGCTCTCTGTGCACCAGCCGGTCAAACCACCTCCGGGGCTTGCTTCCGATGCGAAAGGCTTTCATAGCATCGTAGATGTGTGTTGGAAGGGACCTTAAAGCTCATCCAGTTCCAACCCCTGCCACGGGCAGGGACCCCTTCCACTGGAGCAGCTTGCTCCAAGCCCCTGTGTCCAGCCTGGCCTTGAACACTGCCAGGGATGGGGCAGCCACAGCTTCTGTGGGCACCCTGTTCCTTAACCAATCTTGGAATAGGAGGTGAAAGAATTCCCAGCCACTGCTGGGGCTGAGTGGTGGTTACAGTGGCAGGGTGACATTGAAGTATGTTTTTAGTGAACACTAACAATGCTGTCTCTCCAGGGTTTGTTGAGAAGGAGATTAAAAAAGCAAATATTCCTATCATGGACACTGGTGAAAACCCAGAGGTGCCGTTTCCACGTGACATGATCGACTTGGAGGTGAGGATGTGTGTGAAGACTAATATTTGGCTCTAGATGAAGACAGGGGAACCATTCCCATTGGTAAACCCCAATGAATTTAGTGGCAAAGGTGCATTAAGCATTGTCCTCAGCTGCCACCTGCAGTGCTTGCTCTGCCAGCTCACACCAGCCTGAGCTTTGGTCACAGGCATTGTTTCCTTGTGCATTTTCCCAAATACAATGAGAAGCAAAAGGACTTGAAAGGCATTTCACCCACTTCACTGAACGCACAACTGTGGGGATTGCAGGGTTTACAGTGGGGCATTCTAAGGTTTATAAGGGGTTTTAATGATGTGAAGAACACTGTTAATCCAGCCTATAAAAGTCTGCATTAACAATCTATAAAAGCCTGCAGAGAATGTCCCAGACCCAGAGCTGTGTCTCATGGTGGGCTGGAGCCATGCTGCAATCACATGGGGATGTGAAGCATCCTGCCTGCTTCCTTCTTGTACCAGACCCAACAGCACTTGGGTGTGGAATCGCTTTGACCCCATTTTCCTTCTCCTTTTCACGTCTTGCAGGCAAACTTTGAGAAAATTGAAAATGAGCTTAAAGAAATCAACACGAACCAGGAAGCGCTGAAGAGAAACTTCTTGGAGCTGACAGAGTTAAAGTTCATCCTGCGTAAAACTCAGCAGTTCTTTGATGAGGTCAGAATATGGGGGCTGACACCCGGGGAGCTGGCTCTTCCGCCACAAGCCACCATTTTTAGTCTCAGATATCCTTTAGCTGCTGGTTTGGACAGCAGAGTCATTCCTGTGCTTCAGGATAGCTGCTCAAATGGTTTTCCATGCTCCATGCGGTACACGCAGCTACCCATGATGTTATGCTGTTGCTTTGGGGTTGTTTTAGTTAAGCAGTGGGTTATCTCAGTATTGTGTAAAGTCATGAAGGGGCTGGTGGTCTTTAAAGCACATCAGCAGAGCAAAGCCTTGGTGCTACACTCGAGCCCTTTCTGCAGTGGGTAAGTTCTTTGGTACGCAGGCAGATGAACAATCCTGCCTCACTCACACAGGGGAACTGCAGTCCAGCTTCATTTCTCTTCAGCTTTTGGAATGTTATATGGGGATTCCATATAAATCAATAATACAAAGTCCCCCTGAAGTCATTGATTATTTATTTGAGCCTTTGATCAAACCCTGAAGTTCTTGGAGGTTAAGTTCTGGAGCAAAGCTGCAATTGAAAATCATCAACACTTTCTCAGACAGTAGCTGGGCCAGAAACTGGCAGCTCCTTCAGTGGACCTGAGAAGAGCTTCACTGATGTCATTCATCATACCCCCATGGGAGAAGGCATGATCCTTCCTAGTCCTAGTAAAGCTTAAGTATCTCAGAGTCCAGGGAATTTTCTCAAGGAGTTGCCCAGTGTTCTTTAGAAGGACACATTTTAGCTGAGTATATGTCCTGTTTCATCTAATCCAAGGATTTGATCAAAGAGTTCTTACTGCATTTGGCTTCTGATATATACAGAGGTTGTGATCAAGTAGAGCTGGGCTCCTGCAAGCTTCAGCCTGTTTAGCTAATGGTTGGGGTTTGGGTTTTTGGCACGGGGTGCTGCCTGTTCAGGCATTCAGGTTGTTCCCGTGCCAACACAAGTCTTAGTCTGTGCTGACAGAGCTATAGTGCTGCTGATGTGATGGGTTGATTGGTCCTGGGGTTGGTTTCAGTACCAGATAAATGTCTTCGAGTGTTGAACGTTCATTCACAAGAGCCTCCGTGGACAAACAGCATTAACCTGATCATCTGGCACTTGGTGTTAGGTGCTGCTGCCAGCCTGTGCTACCTGGGGGCAGTAGTTTCTGTCCTCTGGTGGAGCTGCTCACTGCTGTTCTTCCAGTGCAGTGGGCTCACACTGAATGGAGATCCAAATCCATTTCCTAACCAGTCTCCGTCAGGTCACCCGCCAAGGGAACTGAGGTCATGCTCCAGTGAACTGACCACAGGACGTTTCAATGGGTTCCTGCTCCTGTTGATAACTGGTTTCTGTAATAATAAACCAAACCACAAGCCATAAATACACTGCTGTGTGTGAAAACGACCTCAACATCTTGTTATCCTGAGCAGGAACCCTGTCGTTTGTACAGTGCCTTCAACACTTGAAGACTTCAATGACTAATAATTAAGACTGTGTTATTCATAGCAGTAAGTTGCACAAGAAATGGCTTCACAGTCCAAATGACTTAGGTCTGGGCATTTGCTCTCTGGAGTAGGGGGAGGGTGGCTTGTTCCTTACAGGACCTTGTAGCCATTTCTTGTTTCAACGTACCATGTTGATGATTCTGCTCCTTTTCTCAGTCTTCTTGTTTTTGCTTGTGAAGAACAGTATGAGCTGGAGAGATTTCTCTGAAAGCTTTGCCTAGAGTGTGAGCGTAAAAGAAGACTGGAAAAGTAATGGTTAATGGCATGCAGATCCCCATCTCTCTCTCCTCTGACTCTTCTCACCACCTGCTTCGTTTCTGTTTGCTTTGCCTCTGTCATTTCTGTCTGCACTCTGGGTTAATAAGTTGATGGTGGAATGAATCCCTTTTAGTTTGTGTGAAAATTGGTGTCCATTCTGTTTGTGCATCGGGAGGGGCTTGAATTGTATGGCAGAGTGCAGGGAGCCAGAGCAGGACTGTGATCAGGAGGGGAAGATTTAACTTGGTTTTCAGGCCGTGAGATTAAAGATGCTGATCGAGATAAAGGTTCTGATCTGAGTGAACAAAAAGCAACTAAAGGTGTTTATTAATGAAAGGTCTACTTACTGTTTACCAGCATGCAAATGCTTGGGTTTCTCTTACCCAGAGCAACCTGATGTGAGAAGTACTTTACAATCACTCTGATACTTCACTCCCTGCTGGTGAAAACTCTTATTCAAAGCAAGTTTCCTAGAGTCTCATTTCTCTGCCTTGTGGCTGTAGAGCTCTTTCATTTCCACACAGTCTCTTGGGCTTTTATTTCTGTCACACCTTGCAACACTGCTTTAGTTGTCCTTCCAGAACCAGAGCTGTTGTTGCTGTGGCACCCCCTTTGCAGAAAGGGGGTGAATCATCCAATCTAAGTAGTTGAGAGATGAACTAAAATGATGGAGGGAGTTTATTATGCAAATTGTCCTTTTGTAAGGAAGTTCTTGTTTAGTAGAACTGGTCGAGACCTTGACTACTGGTAAATACAATACAAGCCTCTTACAACTGTATCTTACTGGTTTTCAACATCGTGAAATCTAGGTACCAGCCAACCACCGGTGTGTTTGCTTGGTGTGTGGGTACCAAACTTCCTTCTTTTGGTTGTGTCCTCTGTGAAGCAAAATTCTCATTCAGTTTTTGGTGCTGCCTCAAGTTACCTTGAAGTTGAAAGCCTCAGAAATTCTTCTTGTTGGCTTTCCAAACTAGATTAGGGACTCCCTTGTGTAACATCTGTGAGCTAAAAGGAGCATGGGCACAAGCAGCTGAGCTGCCTTTGATGTCAGCCTTGCAAAACCTTGTATATGGCAAATACATTTATTTGATGAGCAAGTAAAATGTAGAGGGTTGGTTCTTCTTTCCACTAAAATGATGATGCAGCTCTTGCACAAAGCAGCACTGGCTGCATCACCCAACTTGCTATAGGCTTTTGCAAGGCTGCACTGAATCTGTGCGTGCATTTTACGTGTTCCAGGGTCAAACTCTGCCTTCAAGTGTATTTTAGCAAGTCCCCTTGTAGGGAGACCTCCTTCTGTACCACTGAGGGTGGAGTCTGGCCTCTGTTTGTGCTAGGGAACTGCCATTTTCATCATTCCATTATGTAAGCTGCAGAGGCAGAAATAAGGATGATGTGGGCTTGAATCGTGTGAAGGTGCGGCACAAGAGGATGTGCTTTGAGCATCCATCCTGGCTTGACTTGCTGGCACTTACAAGCTGTATTCCCAAGAATTTTGACCTGCCAGTCAGTTCCAGTGAAGGACAGTATAAAACTGCAGCCTGTTTTAATGCCTGCCTAGTCAAAAAATGAGCATCTTTTGTCAGACTGCCCTAAGCAATGCACCCGGTGTGTCTGGCAGTAGTACATAGGGTGAATAAGGATAAATAGCTTGAAGAATGAAAAGATGTAATCAATAAGTGTGGTTTTAAGCTGGAAGTATTGTGTGGTTTTTCCTGGAGGGAGACCTTTGTGAAGCCAGTAAAGAAAATCACCATGCAGTACTTCCAGGTTTTGTTCCTGATTCTGACCCTGTATGTACGCTGATGTGGCGAGTAAGATGGAATCAATCAGACTCCCATCACGTAATTCCCAACTGAATGAGGTATTGCCTCTGCTCCTGGGCATGGCTGACGCATTGGATACACAGGTCTCACATCTGGTTGTAGGGTCACAGCCTTGGGCAGCTGCAGGGGATCTCGAGGTGGCTTGAACCATCTGTGGAAGACCGGAGCATCTTCCTCTTGTGTAGGAGCAGGCTTCCAGGCACTTCATATGCAGGTGGAGTTGCCCAGGCACCTCTTAGAAACACCTTTTGCATCTTCATTGATACGCAGAAGATGCCCAAGAGGGAATCAGCATCTACCTTCATGTTTTTCTCCATTTAAGAGACAGGGGAAGTGTCTCACTTTGGTTTGTGCCATTAAAAAAAATGGTTCTTGAGAGCATAAACTTGATTGAATTCTGCCTTTCTTCAGACTTGTGTATCCCACAGCCTCTGTTCAGCTGCAGCAGTCTTTAAACTTCTCTTGTATGGAAGCTTTGCTGAGCCATTCCACTTTTCCTCTTGTTTTATCCCTTGCTTGTGTGATTCTTGCTGTATTTTCTGTCGTCTTCCTCTTTCTGCTGTCTTCTGTTCATTCTTCTTTCCTTGCCTCCCCACTCTCTCTCCTGGTTCCTCGTGCCCTGCATGCCACTAACCAGTTTCATTAGATATTAATTGATTTGTGAATTCAGGCTGAATTGCATCATCAGCAGATGGCGGATCCAGACCTGTTGGAGGAATCCTCGTCGCTCCTGGAGCCAAGCGAGATGGGAAGAGGTGCCCCGCTACGACTTGGGTAATGGCAGCTTGGGCTCCCTTTTAGCTGGCTTTAGGATCCCTGGGGTTCAGCCTCTGGAATCTGCAACCGTTTGTGTGCAGTTGTGGAACTTGCCAGCCTGGCACATCAAGCAGATGAAGGCTGATCTAAACCCAGCTCTTGGTCTCCGCGCTTGTCCTGTGCCCATTGATTTCCCAGCTCGTATCTGTGCTTCACACTTGTCCCCCTGTGCAAAGCCCCTGTAGTTGTTTGTTCCCTGTAAACCTGTTCTGGTGCTTTTTCAGGTGTTCTGAGCTCTCACAGCTTTAGTGAAACTCATAACCCAGTGCTCTGAGAAGCTGTGTAGTTCTGTGTCCTCTTTATTAGCTGCTTCCAGGCTGTCTTTGCATGTGTGTAATGGTTTATCCAGACACGGGGGTTTGAACCAGTGGGGTCTCCTGAAGCACATACCCAGCACATAGTCAGTGGCAGCCACGGCTGCTATAATCCTTGCCATGTAATGCATCAGGATCCTGTTGAGATGAAGACTAACAGGCATAGAAACTGTATGTGTAAATGCATTTATTTCTCCTTTAACCAGTGATGTATACTTCCTTTACTAGACTGTTTCTGTTAAAAGGCATAGCTTGTGCTGTAGTGCAGGTGTGGGTTTATCTCTGCATTTAGAGGACCTGCCGTTTTGCTTCAAGAACCCATTGTAAAGCAAGATTTTAGTCGCTTTCAATGTGATGCTGAGCTCCAGCTGCCCTCAGGGCTTTGGCTGTTGGGCTGTGATTCCCTTTAGGTGCAGAACCTCATCTTTGTGCTGTGCCCTGGGCAGGTTTGTGGCCGGTGTGATCAACCGGGAGCGGATCCCCACGTTCGAGCGCATGCTGTGGCGAGTGTGCCGAGGGAACGTGTTCCTGCGCCAGGCAGACATTGAAAACCCCCTGGAGGATCCTGTGACGGTAAAAGGACCTCCTCTTTACAGCAGCAGAAGCCTCAGCTACGTGAAGGGGTCTCAGATCGCTCCATCTAAGCCTCTGGCCTCCAGTGAGCTCCATGCAGGCAGATGTTTGGGTTGTGTTCCTCTCCAGCACCTACTTGCAGGCTCTGAGCCTTTAGTGACTAATGCTTTATTCAAACAAAAATAGCAGGATGATGGTGAATGCTCTTGAAAGAGGGAAGAACAACTCGAACTCTGGACTGCAGGAGGGCACATTTGCTTCTCTGGCACAAACAGCAGCTCACGTGTGCTGTCTGAATAGGTACTGACCCTCCTTGAGAGAGGCTCTTAGGGGCAGGAGCAGTCTGTAACATCTGTAGCTCATTTCCCCTGAGCTGGGCCCCATTGTTTTTTCTTACTGTGCTAATCAATAATTTGAACACCCAGCTGAGGTTTGCTGGCTTTCTTACCGATACAAATAGTAGGCATTGTGATTGGGCCTGGTTTTACATTTGGTGTCCTCCTTTGCCCAAACTTGAGCCCAAAGAGTGCCCAAACTTTGGGTACTGATGCTCTTAACTGCTGCAAGGAAAGGCTGCACTGGAACAAAGCAGAGCTGAAACCCAGTAACTGCCCCTTTGCTGCTCAGGGAAGGCGGATCCTCCTCCTGTCCCACCGACTGCTGGTAGTTGACCTGTTGAATTATCTGTCTACTAGGAGAGACTTTGTTCTTATTGTGCAACACTTCCTCAAGTGGAGGTTACACCTAGTGTCATTATTCCTGAAACATGATGTTAAAGTTTCCTAAGTAAGGTGGAACAATAACTTGTCAACAAACGCAGGAAGGGGACCTGGCCACCCACTCCAGAGCAGCTCTGCAAGGAATGTGCCCTTGGCCTCCCTAGAGAGGCAGAGCTGTTAAACTCCTCTTGGTGTCGTTTTCATTCACTCTTTAGCTTCTTGAGCTGTTCTGAGGTGAGCTGCCTGCAGGAAGAGCTGATACATGTTCCATGTTCTGTGTATTGCACAGAGTTCATAATGGAGACTCCAGAATATCAGTAACACAAGTAGGGGTATTCCACTCTGAGGCTAAGAAAATGGCTTTCCTTGGGACTCTTAGTGCTGTAAGGTCCATTCTTGACTGACTGTGCAGATACAAGCTCTGTGTGCTCAGATCCAGAGGAAGGGAAAGTAGAACTGTGCTGTAATTTGCTGTAGTGCTGACTGCTGGAGCTCTTACACTGTGCTGTTTCTTCTGTTCTAGGGGGATTATGTGCACAAGTCTGTGTTTATCATCTTCTTCCAAGGCGACCAGCTGAAGAACAGAGTCAAGAAGATATGTGAAGGGTATGAAAGCCTTCCATCTGGGCAGCTCTCTTAAATACACATTGACATGACTTAATACTGGGATCGTTCAACACCTGGTCTCATGGTGACTGTAGGAGTACAGATTTTGACAGCAAATAAAATGTTCCAGAAGTAGCTGAAACCTATTTTACAGTCAAACTAGCTCCTTCCCAAGCCTGGCATGCTCAAAGTAGATGAGTGTTTGACTAGAGAATGCCTCAGACCAAGGAGGTTCACGTGTTGGACTCACAGACAGTCCCAGTGGGCTGTGAGCAGGCGATAGTCTCACGGGGCAGGCCAGCAGTGAGTACTTGTAGCAGCAGCTGCATTGACTTGATAGCAGCACCCTGAGCTGGGGTGGCTGATGGACTGTGTAACAGTGCCTTTGAGCCACTTGTCACCACAGGGAACAGAGGGCTTCCTCCCACTTCTGTTTCCTTAAGTGTTCAGCTTCTGTTTTGGCTGAAAGCAAACTCCTGTAGCCACTCGATTTAAAGGCTGAAACTCTGCTTGGCAGTTTCTGCTGATCAGAAGCTTCTCTTAAGGTGCCTCTTGCTTTGTCCAGCCTCAGCCAGCTATTTCCCTGACTGACCTATCTCTTCCCATCTTTGTTACTGAGGTGGCTTGCATGTCTTTCAGATTCCGTGCCTCCCTCTACCCATGCCCTGAAACACCCCAGGAACGGAAGGAAATGGCTTCTGGTGTCAATACCAGAATTGATGATCTTCAGATGGTAAAATAAGGGGTCAATGCCCTTTTTTCCTTTTAACAATCTAATTGAAAACGTCTTTGGATCCTATTAAAACATGAGCATTTGGGGCCCTATCAGATGACTGTATTTCCAGCTCCAGGTAGCTTGAGACCAGCAGCTCAGCAGTGCAAGACAGATGTCTGGAGACTGCTCAGTTTTCCTTGTCAGGGGTTAGGATGATGGGGTGGGTTGATGTTTCTGGAGGGTTGAGTTCATTACACACATGTATAAGTACAGCCCTGACAGAGAACTGCATACCAGGGAGCAGAGAGGAGTATGCATGTGTAAGGAGATACCATGTTTTCCAGCTCTGAAAGCATGCTTGTCTGATTGCCTGCTTCATCTGCCAGAACTCTTGAGAGCAGTTCCACTTATTCCCAAGCTGAGTTAACAATGCCGACATTAACTTAGCTCTTCTCTTTTTCTGCCTGTCTCTATTCTCACGTTGTGCTGTCCTGAAGAGCTTCTGCTTTACAGCTGATCTCTTGTGCAGCAGCCTGAGGTTATAATGCAGACAAATGTAAGGGATTTGAGACAAACAGGTTCAGAAACTAAAAGGAAAACTGTCTGAATTTGGAGTGCTGCTTTCATAACCTGCCTCGAGCTGGCGTTGTGGAGTGCAGCTCTTTAGCAATTTTGAAGTAGACAAGAACTCAGGAGCAGTTTAATGAGTAGGATTCAAAGCTGCATGTGCCCTGTGTCCTCCCTTCCCTGGAGTCTAAGACTTTCCAGTCTGGAAATCTGACTTGGCCTGAGTTAGGTATGTTCCAGTTGGGGAACAGCCTCAGGAGAAAACACTTTCTCCTTTTCCCTTCAGTAAAAACCTCTCTCACTGTAATCTGGGTGTTTTCTTAAGGCAACATGTGCCTCATTTGTAGAACTCTGCTCTGCTCTTTTAACCTGGGTGGAGGGAAAAGTGTTCTCTGTGCTCTCTGCACAGTTCATTGTTTGAAATACCCACTGCCCCTGGAGCTGGAGGATGGAAGTAGCCCTGGGAAGAAGCCTTTAAACCTTTTAGCAGAACTAGATTAATACAGAGCCTAAAGCATGTATTATGGGCATGGGGCTGTCCTGTGCATGGGATGGGGAGAGGGCTCGTTGTCTGCTGGTGGGTAGGGCTTGCTCAGCCCCATTCTGCTGTGCACGTCTGTATGCTTTGCGTTTTGGCCAGCGATGTGGCCTCCTCCTCATCCTCTGCTTCCCTGTGCAAGGTGCTGAACCAAACCGAGGATCATCGGCAGCGGGTCCTGCAGGCAGCTGCCAAAAACCTCCGCGTGTGGTTCATCAAGGTGCGCAAGATGAAGGCCATCTACCACACCCTGAACCTCTGCAACATCGACGTCACGCAGAAGTGCCTCATTGCTGAAGTCTGGTGCCCTGTGGCTGACCTGGATTCCATCCAGTTTGCTCTCCGGAGAGGCACTGTGAGTAGCTGCGGAACGGCAGCATCCGCAGCAGGGGATTGACTCCTCCAAATGGGATCCATCCCTTGGGGCTGTTGGGGCTAAGCTTTGTCACAGGGATGTGGTGGGAAGCTGTAAGTTCAGGGGAATGCTGCGATGCTGAGGCATTCTCCTGTGCTTCAAGTCTTTGGTACGTTTAGTTAACCTGGCTGTGCTGCACTCCTGCTGTTTGGATCTATAGTGGAGCTTACTGAAAGGAGCTCTACAGGACATGAGCAAGCTCACCCTCTGCTCAGACACATGAGAGCTGGGTGCCTTGAAGTCCTTCCACTTGCTGTTTAAAAAACCCAAGCTCGCTCTTGCATGGGTTTTCTTGTCTGTCCTAATCAGACAATGCCCATCCTTAACTACAAGTGCTGCTCCTCCTGCTGCACTGAGTGGAGAGCAGTGGAAACTTGGCAGCCTTCCTCAACTGCTCAAGTGTATGTCTCATGGGGGAGGCACACTGCAGACAATCAAGCTTGTGGTTTTCCAGTGCTAACAAGGAAGTGGTGTTGTGCTCAGAGGGTGGGTTTTCTAATCTTCCTCTTTGTTTAAACAGGAGCACAGTGGATCCACTGTCCCATCCATTCTAAACAGGATGCAAACCAATCAGACCCCACCAACATACAACAAAACTAACAAGTTTACTTGTGGCTTTCAAAACATTGTTGATGCTTACGGCATTGGGACGTATCGGGAAATAAATCCAGGTACCTTCAGACATGGGGGAAGTCCAAGACATCTCTCTCAATTTTGTAGTTATGGTGTTCCTCTGTATTGTTTGCCCTGTGTGACAATGCCTAACAGAGTGCTTCTCCTGGTAGAGGAGAAGCCTGGGAATTACACTGCTAAATGGCACGGATTGTGCTGTGCTAAATCAGGGCTTCACCAAGTACAGCACATGAGGAGTGTCCTCTTCTCTCTTGCAGCACCCTATACGATCATTACCTTCCCCTTTCTGTTCGCTGTGATGTTTGGAGATTTTGGCCATGGAATCCTGATGACTCTGATTGCTGTTTGGATGGTGCTTAGGGAAAGTCGGATTCTCTCACAGAAGAGTGACAATGAGGTGAGGTGGCCGCTCATGCTGAGCTTGGCATTAAACCAGAGTTGTAGCTGGTTTACTCCATCCTTCCCCCTTCAGCTGACAATGCCCATTCCTCCTTTCACTTGGAATTTGGGAAGCCTGTAGACCACAGACTGAGTGGGATAATTTCATAGCAGTAGTGAGTTCCTTTGGGTTTCCTTTTGGCTATTTATAGGGAATGATTTCAGTTGTTTGAAGGAAATGCTGTAGATAAGCTCTTGTAAACAGATCATCCAAAGCTTGGTTGTATCATAAATGGGTTCATTCACTGCAAAACTGCTCTCTGTATATGTAGATCTCCAAGATTCTTTCAGTTTGCTGATCCGGGTGGGTTTTGCTTGCTCAGGGCTTCAGCTGACAGGAGGTGAACCAGAGTTAAGCTACACTGAGAGAGCTGAACAGGGTCTGCATTGCCTGGTTCCAAACTCTGCTGCCAGGGGCTGTTTGCCTCAGTGTGTGCAGTGCAGTTTGTCCTCCTCAGTTCCTCCCAGCTGCTCTGTGCACAGCCACGCTCCTCTGCAGCCTCTGGGTTCAGATTCTCTTCTGCAGTGCTGCCTCTTGCACCTTTCATCCCTGCCATGGGGAAATAGAAACCTGGGGCTTTTAGTCTGTATGGCAGTGTTCTTGTCCTGCAGCTGACTGGTTTTACTGTGTCATGAGGCAGCTTCCTTGTTCTCATGGACTTCCTTTGTTCCTTTCTGGGTTGTTTTTGATACAGATGTTCAACATGGTTTTTAGTGGCCGGTACATCATCCTGCTGATGGGGCTGTTCTCCACCTACACCGGCCTCATCTACAACGACTGTTTCTCCAAGTCCCTGAATTTCTTTGGCTCCTCCTGGAGCGTCCGGCCCATGTTCATGAAAGGCAACTGGTCGTGAGTAAACACTTGGTACAAGCTAAAGGGTGAACGAGATAAGCAAGTGGCTTATCTGTCCCCATTGTCCTCCATGCTCAGGAAGTCAAATTTGAGCTCAGTCTCAAGCAGCACTACAGGAGAGCGTAAACGTGCTCTCCATCGAGTTTCAAGCCAGCTTTTTTTCATTCCAGAAAACTCGTGAAGATTTAGTTTAGCCCCTTTCTCACAGGCATTCCTGCCCCCTGCATCCTTCTTCCTTGTGACTTGTCAAGAAACAGATTCATTATTCATTCAGGAAAATCCCTAGGGCCATGCAGGAACCTTAACGTTGTCTCTGTTTGAGGCACTCCTTGCTCTCACAAGGGGAGAGCATCGTTAGTTCTTACAGAGAGAGGACACTGTTGCTTGTCTTAATGTTTGTATGATCTCCTTCTACCCAAACAGAGATGCCTTGCTAGAGACCACTCCTCTGCTGCAGCTGAACCCTGCCATTCCCGGGGTGTTCGGTGGCCCCTACCCCTTCGGCATTGACCCGGTAGGAGCCATTCCTTCCTTTGCTGTCCTTAAAGAACATCCCTGTGTCAGCAGGAGTGTCTGGTTGACTGTATCCACAGCTCAGCCATTCCCTTAGCAATCAGTGTTGGAAATAACTCCTGAATGATCACATTAATTCAGCTCCCACTGAAATGCTGGATTCGGGATGGAGAGACTTGTTCACAGGTCATTAAAGGCCTCTTCCTCACCATCCTTGACCTGCAGGGGTTTAATCAGAACTGGTTAGACTTGCAAATCACTTGATGAAGTTACTTTTTGACCTTTTTCAGTCAGTCTTGGAGCTGTAAGTTTTGAGTAATCCTGTCATTTTATATCCACTGACATCACTAACACTGCTTGAAATGCTTGATACAAGACCTGGCGTGTTCCACATTCACAGGAAGTGCAGAAAATCAGAGCCATGTGTCATTGTTCATTGAAATGGATAAATATTTTCTTTCCTGTCAAGGATACAGCCCCACTTTTCCTGCAACCTTTGCCTCCCATAAAAACAAGCAGGGTTTGATTCCTGCTCTGCTGGGGGATCAGTTGCTGTAAGGGTTCTCAGCAGGAGAGGTTGGCTGCTCATTTCCCCCCGTGTGGCAAACCCATCTTGAAAAGAAACCTGCTCTTGCAGCCTAATGCTTCCTGGATGGTTAATAGTGTTTAGCTTAAAGTGAAGGTTTCCATCCTCCTCTGGTTTCCTTTTGCTGGCTGTTGGGCTGACCTTGTCCTGTTTTCCACAGATTTGGAATATTGCCAGCAATAAGCTGGCCTTCCTCAACTCCTTTAAGATGAAAATGTCTGTGATTCTTGGCATTATCCACATGCTCTTTGGCGTCACACTGAGTCTTCTCAACCACATGTAAGTGCTTTGCTCTGTTTTCCCCATTGGGGTGGGGGGCTTCTTTGGGGGGGGGTGTTAGTTTAAGCTGCAGGAGCCCATCAGACTTCAACCTCTGCTGAAGGAGCAGTGGAGTTGCTCCTGTCTGGCTATGCAGAACGATGCCTGTCCCGTCGTTACTGGGTTTAAATCCCAGCTACTGCTGAGCCCCTGCAGTTTTGTTCTAAAGATGATAAAAGCTTTTTGCCCTACGTATACCTAATGCTGACCAAATGTAACATTAAACTCTTCGTTTCTTTCCCCCCCCCATAGCTATTTTAAGAAGCCACTGAACATATACCTGGGATTTATCCCAGAGATGATTTTCATGTCGTCACTCTTTGGATACCTCGTTATTCTCATTTTCTACAAATGGACAGCCTACGATGCTCACACCTCCAAGGATGCACCAAGCCTTCTAATACACTTTATCAACATGTTTCTCTTCTCCTATAGTGACACCAGTAATAAGATGCTTTATAAGGGGCAGGTAGGTGCTCTTGCTAAATAAAATCAGAAGTGCTTCTTGGTATATCTTAACCTTATGATAATTATGAAATTGAAATGTTTTTTCCTCCATGATAGAGGAAATGTGGCATCACTCCTGAAGCCTGACACTGTGTAATGTTGAAGAAGGAAATAATCCCTCTACCAGGAATTTATATCAGTCTGAGCATGTCAGCTCTGGCTCCAGAGCATTTGGATTCAGATTAATAGTGGAACGTGATTAGGAATATTGTCCTGCATCTGCGGTGTGATGCCTCTAAGCTTAGCTAAGATGCCAGTGCCGTTTCCTCCCAGCACTATCAGACATCTGTCAAATCCTCATTCCCTGCACAGTCTTGTGGATTATTCCCTAATGTAACCCAGTACCAGCACTACATGCTGTGCACAGTCAGCTGGGGCATGCAGGCAGGCATTAAATACACGGTTCCAGTTGTTCAGTGCTGCCTGCGAGCTCCTGCTGGGTTTTGAGCGTGTGTTTGAGCATGTCAATCAGCTGAGACCTGTTTCTTTTGCAGCAAGGCCTCCAGTGTTTCCTCGTGGTGGTGGCGTTGCTGTGTGTGCCCTGGATGCTGGTAGCTAAACCCCTGGTCCTTCGCCATCAGTATTTAAGGAGAAAGCACTTGGTGGGTGACTGCCTCTTCTATTTTCAGTATGAAAACTAATGATGGTTGAAAAGCCACGTTCTCCATCTTGAGCTTGGATGCGAGGGGTCACGCTGTGGTGTGACCTGCAGAGTGGTTTTATGCATATTCCTAGGCATGAAGGCAGGTGGGTTTTACTGGAGGCACAGAGTTGCCTGCCCGCTTCTCAGATCTGCATCCAGCATCAAACCTGCTTCTAAAAGCCCTTTATGTGGGTCACGATAAAAACAATCGATCTGGCTTGGGCTCTGTCAGCTCTCGTACTGGTTGCTGGGTGCACTTCTGTGCCTTTGCTAGGCTGGCAGTGTAAATGCAGAGGTGTGACCTTGCTGGGGTGGCAGCCTGATCAGCTGCCTGTTAAAGCCCTGTGGATGGCAGAGAGTAACCATTAAAAGGACAAAACCCAAAGTAGCCTTAGGCAGTGGTTATGTGAGGGGCTGTCTGCGGGGTCCTCTCCAGGTGCCCCCCACTGTATGTAAAGTATCTTTATATGAAATGTAGGAACCTGGCACACGTGCACTGAGGAGACTCACAAGTTCTCCCTGCATGTGTGGCAGAGAGCTGTTGGGATGTGAAGTGAGTCAAAGACGAGTTCAGTTAAAGACACTCCCTCTCCCTTCTCTGACCATCTTTCATCCTCCCATGTCCCCTCCATTCGTCTCCCTCTCTCTTTTTGTTTTCTTCCCTTTCTTTTCTTCCATTCACTATCAGGAAGGGCAGCCCGTGGAGGCCCAGGTCAGCCCAGTCCCGAACGAGCAGGCACTAGAGGCAGCAGCGGCTGCAACAGTGAGTGGATTTAAAAATCACCTGATGGATTTAAAGATGGGAGTTGCCTTTCTATCTAATGGTCAAGAGAGCACGGAATGTATCTGAATTCCCTAAGTGAATGACAGCTGCACCTTTAGGGTGAAAAACGCTTTCTCTTGGAAAGAGCAAAGTTCAACAAAACTGATACATTCTGGAAGAGCTACCAGGCTGAAGGATAATAGTTATGTGTGCCCAGAATGCAGGAGTGCTGCTGAACTCAGACCCTGCAGAGCAGCATGAGAATACCACAGCCCCCAGGTTAAGTTCCCCTTTTCTTTCCTTTTCTTGCATATTTGTTGAAGACACATGAGGATTCTTTTCAGTGAAGCATTTCTGTTTGCATTATGTGTTCCCAAACATCATGTGTATGTGACTGCCTCCCAGCAACTTCCTGTCAGGAATCACGGGATTTCTGGCACCTGCACCTTTGGATTGAAGCTGTGATGAAGTGGGCGTGCACAAATGAGCCTTTCAGCAGCAGTTGTCTCTTCTTCTTTGTGTCTGAACCTATAGACAGCCCTTGACTGCCAAAGCTTTCTGGTGGAGTGAAGGTTGCAGCAGCACTTGGTCCCTTCCCCAGAGGCATTTCAGACTCACAGGTCTTAATTTATAGTCCCTCAGATCACTCCTGAGCATTTTCTGTCTCTGGAGGGAAACAGAAACCCTGCTGTAGAGTGCCCAGTGCTGCTTGCTGAGCAGAAAGGCAGAGGTAGGGATGTGCATTTGTTGTCCAGCATGTTTCCAATGCATGTAAGCCCTGCTTGAGGGCCCTGTCAGGTGGTGGGACAGGTCTGTGCATCGTTGGTGGTGTTAAGCCGCTATGGGGAGGAAGCCTGCCCCGAATCCGATGTTAACTCTGCAGTGAGCCCAGCGAAGTGGGAAGAGCTCCCGATGCTTGCAGAGTTCCAGCTCAGGTTGTGGGTTATTCCTTTCCATTTGGAGCGCAGCGTTGGTACGGCCGGGGGCAGATGTGGGATGTCAGCACAAATGTCTAAAAAAGGAACTGCTTGCACAATGTAGAGCTTCCAAGTAAGGGAAAGTCTGAATCCCCAGGAGCGCTGCGAGCTCGCCTGGCGCTGGTGGGGAGCAGGGGGGGGGTGTTGGTGTCAGTCTCTGCTGCTGTGACTTGCCACGACGTGACTGTGCCGTTTACACCAGCCGTGGTGGTTGAGTGCCTGTCCCCAGCTGCTGGGCAGAACGTTGCTCTGTTGCACGTCGGTGCCAGCAAATGTCCTCTTGAGAGATGTGCCTTTGATTTCACGTGGGGTTGCAGTCACTGTGTAGAAATGTATGCAGGTCTCACTCCAACAGCTTTCTTTTCCCCAGCCCTAGCAGGAATCAGCATCTTTCCCATCCAAGCTGGGAAATAGAATTCTCCAGCTGGTTTCACCCGAGCCTTCGTACTTAATGTTTTGTTTCCTTCTGTGAGCTGCTGCTGCACGTGGACTCGTAAGAAACCCACGCTCTTGCAGGAGAACACAAACAACACTTTGCTCTTTCTCTCTCTGCACGTGTTAGGGAACACACAACTTCGGTGGGATCCGGGTGGGCAACGGCCCGACTGAGGAGGATGCTGAGATCATTCAACATGACCAGTTATCTACCCATTCCGAGGAGGGGGAGGAGGTAAGCACCACCCTCTCTCGGGGCAATGTTCCCTGCAGCAGAATGTGCTAGCTTTTTGCCTGCATTTCCTGATTTCCCAGCTGTTTAAATAGCAGCGCTCTCAGTGAAGTGTTTTCGTAGCAGTTTTCGTACAGATTATCCCTTGGTTGTTCCCAGGACTCCAGAAAAAGCAGTTTACTTTGCATATAAAGAGAAACGGGGCTCTGGTTGTCCTCGTTAGAAAGAACCATCATCTATGGGGCTGCACAGTGGGAGCTGCAGAGTACTCCTGGGTGGCTCATGCAGCCTGTGCTCTGGTTGAAGAGCAGTGCTGGTGCCTGCTGCTCCAGGGTCAGCAGAAACCCAGGGCTGTGTTTCTGGAGCAGTGGAATTGTGGTTATGTTCATTTTGGTGGTTGGGGATAACATTACTTGCTTTGCCTTCCCTGAGTTGATCTCATGTAGTTTGGGTGTATTCTGATGCCTCTCTTGAGCAGCATCTTGCCTCTGTCGTGCGTGTGATGTGTTACTGCTTTCCTGTGTCGTGTTTAGGGAGGGAATTATTGAATGTGTTTGTGCTGAATGTGATGGACACCCTGCACTAAATGTAAACTTATGTTTTCAAGCCTGCAGAGGATGAGGTGGTAAGAGTACAGCCAGCTTTGCCTTCATGTGTATCTGAACCATTTCCCATTGGTGTCAAACACGTGCCGAGTTAAAAACATGTCACAACATCTTGTTTTCCAAAGGATCTGGCTACTTCCATGCTACAGGCCATTTTGAATTCCTCATGCATTCATGCCCATTAACAGACCTTTAATTACTCCACCTACACAGCCTGTTTGCCTGCCCCTCTGTTGCAGAGCTTCCTTAGCTTACCCAGCAAGCTGGAAGTCTGAAACTGGGAAGTTTTTGCCTTTAAACTTCTGCAGGAGTCTCATTTGCCTCACGTTGTCTTTGCTCATTGTGCACTGCAAAAAGCTCTTCAGAGCTATCTGTGCCCAAACTCTGCTATTTGAAGGACAATCCAGGTTGTTGCAGTCAGCAAATGCAGCAGAACCAGGCCAGCTTTGTGCAGCTCATCAGCTATAGAAGGGAAGCTGTGTTCTGAGAAACTGCTCATTCACGAACACTTGTAGCAAGCAGAAGTACTAAAGAAATAAGGGGTTTTTAGGACTACTCATGCAGGGTTGATTGTGGGCTTCAGCACTCTCAGGTAACCAATTCTATTACAAAACCCTATCAATGCCATGAAATGAAAGCAGCTTCCCAGCAGTGGTGCTGCTGTGAATCGTGCTGAAGGTGCTTCTGCCTAGAGCCCTGTTACATCCAGGGGCATCTGGAGCTGAGAGGGGCACAGAGACTGTTCCTTCAGGCAGGCTTCAGTGAAGGCCTTTGCAGTTCATGTTCTGTGCAGAAAGAATAAGGCTTTTGACGTCCGATTTCACTTGTTTGCCACAGTTCTTGCCCTGGACACACCAGGGGAGAAAGAGGAATATAAATAGCTTTCTGTGCATGCCTAGAGCATTAGTCACTTGATGTATTTAAAACATCGTGTTCACTTCACTTAAATAAGAGCAGTTTCTGAAGCATGGATTAAATCCAAAAGGCAGGGAATGCTTTCCCAAGCTGCAGAAGAAGGAACTGGCCCCCATGGCAGACTTCCTTATAAGTTGCTTTGTTTCAGAAAACTACCAAGACCCAGAGGCTTGGCCAGTGAATGGAGGCAGATGTGACCCTTTCACAGCTGCTTTATGCATTACTTTTGCTTTCCAAAGGGTACGTTTATATCTCCAGAATGCTCATGTCCTGTAGCAAAGGTACATACGCAGCAGTATCAGCTTGGAATACTGTCTCCTTTTATGCAGCAGTACATATCATGTACTGGTGAATTCATGTGAGCACGACCTTGCTGCTGAACAGTTTTTTCCTGGCAAAGCCCATGGCTCAATTTGGAATACCTTACTTTGATATGCTAGACTGTGAAAACAAGGATGCTGAGACTGAGCCATCGCCCTGCCAAAGGGTTTTCCTTTATAACCCCTCCATGCTAAACCAGGAGAAGACAGTGTCAGTGTGTGACCTCAAGCACCATGTCCTGGGGAGCAGCCCCAGCAGCGTGCTGCCTCAGCTCCCCCCATGGCCCGTGTTCTCTTTGCAGTTTGACTTTGGGGACACCGTGGTGTACCAGGCCATCCACACCATCGAGTACTGCCTGGGGTGCATTTCAAACACTGCATCCTACCTGAGGCTCTGGGCTCTCAGCTTAGCCCATGCACGTGAGTATTCCTTGTGGAACTGAGGGGTTGCATCGGTGTGGATGTGGGAACGCAGGGAGCCTCGCAGAGCTCAGCTGCTGGAGGACAGAGCTGTGTGTGCACTAGCTGGGAGGGAGGGGGTGTGAACAGCAGGGTCTGCTTGCACAGGGCTCTGCTCAGAGGGAGGGATGAAGCTGGAAGCACTGAGTGAAGCAAAGAGCTGCTGAGCAAAGGCTCTGCCCTGCACCGTGTGTGGCAGTTGGAGGCAATGTCCTCACACGCTCGGATGCAGAAGCTGTTGGCCCTCCTGTTCCCCACCTCGGTGCAGTGGGACTTTGAGTTTTTGCTTGAAGTGAATGGGGACAACCCCTCCCCTCACTGAACCCTCCTCTCCCCTGCCTCCTGCAGAGCTCTCGGAGGTGCTCTGGACCATGGTGATCCACATTGGCCTCAGCGTGAGGAGCCTGGGGGGAGGCTTGGGCCTCTTCTTCATCTTCGCTGCTTTCGCTACGCTGACGGTGGCCATTCTGCTGGTCATGGAGGGGCTGTCTGCTTTCCTCCATGCTCTTCGCTTGCACTGGTGAGTTACTGGGGCAGCAGGAGCTGCAGAGCTCTTTGGGCAGGAAAACCGATGCCACCTGAGCTCTGCAGAGGTGCCATCACAGGCAGCTATGGCTGTAACACTGGGGTTGGGGATGATACCGAGCCAGGATCAGTGCTGGAGCACCACGAACCTGCCTGAACACCTGCATGTCCTGCAGCAGATGTGCTCAAACAGGGTTGGAGATTTCAGGCTTGTTTCTAGTGGTGCAGCACTGTCCCGATGGGGTGCGTGACCACTGCTTAGGAATGATGGAGAGTAACTGGTCTCTGCTTAAGAATCAGACCAGAGCTTTGGGAGCAGTGGGATGGGGTGGTTGTGCTGGGTAGAGGAGCGTGTTGTGGCATTCAGTAGGGCTTTCTCGTTCTGTCTTTTGGTTCCAGTGTTCACTTGCCTTAGCGAGCAATAGCTACTGAGCTGCTGACTGCAGCTACCTTCCCATGGTCTAGTTCCTCTTTGCTGTACCTTGCACTGAACAGGAGCAGCTTTGCCTCTGCCTTTGGCATGCTGGGGAATGGCAGCTCTTTCTTGCTGGCTTTGCTTATTGGCAGAGGCTTTTGTAGCCCCTTTCCCATGCCGACGGGATAAGGGCTACATCCTGCGCATGCATCCAGCCAGGAATGAAGTGCTCGTTGCTTTCTCTGCACCCAAGTATGGGAAGTATTCAAGAGCTTGCTGTAATCCCTACTTGAGAGCGCTCATTGTTCCCCTTCAGCTCCCCTGCTTCCCACTGCATGGGATCACAGGAGGGATGTGGGAACGGGCTCTGCTCTCCTGAGCCCGAGGTGTTGGAGAGGAGCACGCGTGTGCTCCGTGCAGCTCAGGTCCCTGCCCTCCTGCCTGGTAAACAGGAGAACAAAGTGAAGCCCCGTGGCGCTCACAGGGAGCGTTCTGCCTTGCTTCAATGGGAAGGGAAGGCTGTGAGCAGCGAGTGGCAGAGGGACAGGAACCGGCCTTTTTAGGATCGTAGAACGGTTTGGGTTGGAAAGGACATTAAGATCATGCAGTTCCAACCCCCTGCCATGGGCAGGGACACCTCACATTAAACCATCTCACCCAAGGCTTCATCCAACCTGGCCTTGAACATCACCAGGGATGGAGCATTCACAACCTCCCTGGGCAACCCATTCCAGTGCCTCAGCACCCTCACAGGAAAGAATTTCCTCCTTAGATCCAATCTAAACTTCCCCTGTTTCAGTTTGAACCCGTTACCCCTTGTCCTGTCACTACAGTCCCTAATGAAGAGTCCCTCCCCAGCATCCCTACAGCCCCCTTCAGACACTGGAAGGCTCCGTCCTGGTCCCTCCCCGATGGGGGGGTCCCTGCGGTGTCGCCATCTTGTGCTGCGGGAGCCGGGGGCTGTGCAAATGGCTGCTGGCTGCTGCCTTCCCTGGCACCCAGCCTGGGAATCCTCCTGGCCGGCACTCGGAGCTCGCTGCTCCCTGCCCGCCCGGGGCTCGGGGCTGAGAGCTGAGCCCTGAGCCCTGAGCCGTGTGAAGGAGCTCTGCAAGGCCTGGCCCCTGCTCCTGCTGCAGCGTCCGAGAGGAGCAGGGAGCAGGCAGGACCCTACTGCATGTCTGCCCTGTGCTCCTGCTGCAGCATCCAAAGGGAGCAGGGCACAGGCAGGACCCTACTGCAGGCAGGACCCTACTGCATGTCTGCCCTGTGCTCCTGCTGCAGCGTCCAAGAGGAGCAGGGCACAGGCAGGACCCTGATGCAGGCAGGATCCTAATGCATGTCTGCCCCATGTTCCTGCTGCAGTGTCCAAGAGGAGCAGGGTGCAGGCAGGACCCTACTGCAGGCAGGACCCTAATGCATGTCTGCCCTGTGCTCCTGCTGCAGCATCCAAAAGGAGCAGAACTCAGGCAGGACCCTGATGCAGGACCCTAATGCATGTCTGCACCGTGCTCCTGCTGCAGCGTCTGAGAGGAGCAGGGTGCAGGCAGGACCCTACTGCAGGCAGGACCCTAATGCATGTCTGCCCCATGCTCCTGCAGCATCCAAGAGGAGCAGAGTGCAGGCAGGACCCTACTGCATGTCTGCCCTGTACTCCTGCTGCAGCATCCAAAGGGAGCAGGGCACAGGCAGGACCCTAATGCATGTCTGCCCGGTGTTCCTGCTGCAGCATCCAAAGGGAGCAGGGCACAGGCAGGACCCTAATGCATGTCTGCCCGGTGTTCCTGCTGCAGCATCCAAAGGGAGCAGGGCACAGGCAGGACTCTAATGCATGTCTGCCCTGTGCTCCTGCTGCAGCATCCAAAAGGAGCAGAGCTCAGGCAGGACCCTGGTGCGTGTGGGCTGGGTTTGACCCGCAGTTGCTTGTGAATCAGCTGGGTTTCAGTCTTGCTCCTCTGGGCTGCACATCTCCGAGCAGCAGGAGCTGAACAGTTCTGAAGGGCTTTGCTTGGCAGGCTCGGGGTGTTCCTCTTTACCCAGAGGGCTGGGCGGAGAAGGTAAAGCATCATTGGAGATACCTCTCATGTGCTGGTAACACCAGGCTCCCTCATGGTACCACTCACAGAGCACCTGGGCCAAGTGGCCCCGGGGGCTGCAGCTCAGCCAAGTGATGGCTCTGCCATTGCCAGGCCAGCTCCAAAGGGCAGGGGGGGGTAAAACCTGCCTGGAAAGAGGCACATCCCTGAAGGGGCCCAGGGAGGAGCCCGGCTGAGCCCCAGCCGCACAGGGCTCGCTGCTGCCGTGCAGGGCACGCATGGGGAGCTGCAGCTCTCAGTGAAGTCGTCTTTCCCCTGAGTTTGTTGAGGCAACTTCAGTGGCTCTCTAAGAGAGAACGTGCTCGAGCCTAGAGCCCGGGGAGCGGGTTAAGGCAGTGCTTCAGACTGAGCTGGGCTCTGCTGGGATGGCACAGCGAGGAGGGAGGCACCTGCAGCCCTTCAAAGAACGCGCTGTCACCATGCCTCCTGTTTGGTCCTGGATGTGGAATGCAGGGGGGGTCTGCAGTGGGATGTCTGCAGTGGGGTGTCTGCAGTGGGGTGTCTGCAGTGGGATGTCTGCAGTGGGGTGTCTGCAGTGGGGTGTCTGCAGGGGGGTGTCTGCAGGGGGGTGTCTGCAGTGGGGTGTCTGCAGTGGGGTGTCTGCAGTGGGGTGCCTGCAGGGGGGTGTCTGCAGGGGGGTGTCTGCAGTGGGGTGTCTGCAGGGGGGTGTCTGCAGTGGGGTGTCTGCAGGGGGATGTCTGCAGGGGGATGTCTGGAGTGGGATGTCTGCAGGGGTGTGCCTGCAGTGGGGTGTCTGCAGTGGGGTGTCTGCAGTGGGGTGTCTGCAGGGGGGTGTCTGCAGTGGGGTGTCTGCAGTGGGGTGCCTGCAGGGGGGTGTCTGCAGTGGGGTGTCTGCAGTGGGGTGTCTGCAGGGGGGTGTCTGCAGTGGGGTGTCTGCAGGGGGATGTCTGCAGGGGGATGTCTGGAGTGGGATGTCTGCAGGGGTGTGCCTGCAGTGGGGTGTCTGCAGTGGGGTGTCTGCAGGGGGGTGTTCCCTGTTGAGGAACAGGGTAGGGGGTCACACAACCCCCCAGCTGTGCCGGGAGGAGCAGGGCAGGTTTGCTGGCAGCGGGACTGGGGTCTCCTGCCAGGACCAGGACTGCTGTAGGTCTGGGTGGTTCTTCCTGGAAGCCAGGAGCAATGCAGGGAGCCCAGCCCAGCGCTTCCATGTGCTCTGCCCCTCCGTCCCAACCCGGGACTTGTGCACATTCCTTGCACGGGCTGGGCTGGAGGAAGCACTCCCGGTGCTGTGCTGGGATGGAGCCCCACCAGGCCTCCCCTCCCTGTGACATCCCTGCTCCGCAGTGTCCCAGCTTCCCATTCACTCCTCAGGAACGTGCCTCCATGGGGATGCGTGCGTTCAAGCAGCCTTCTCGAAGGCAGTCGGCTCCTCTGCTGCAAGCAAACACAGACTTTGGCCTAAGGAGGTTTGTAACTGAATGCCAGCCTCAGGGGCTGAGGCAGGAATGGTCTCAGTGGGTCTGTTTTCCTATGGAAAGCAGCCTTTTAGGTGCAGTTTTGGGCCTGATTTGGTACCAGGAGCTCTTTTCCCTGCAGTATGTCCCATGCCCAGCCCACAGGTAGAACACCGGGTAGCAGGAGGCATAATACAAGCAAACCAGGTTAATTCAGAGCAGTGAAGAGTGGGCTTTACATCGCTCTGTAGGAGAGAGGTTGGTGTTAAATGAGCTCCGTGATGCATTTGGGGGGCAGTTCCAGAGCCTGGAGCGGCCAAACCACGTTGTTACAGTGCCAGCTGCCTACTGCATTCTTCCCCAGAGCTTCACCTCTGGTGGGAGATGCTCAGTGCAAAGCTCAGCACTGGGGCCGGTGCAGCCATCCTGCAAACAGCGGTGTCGCGCAGGGAAAGGGCCTTGGATTCTGCCTGTTCCTGAGGCCACTTCCAGAAGGAACCCCCTGAATGCTTGAGCCATGGCAATGGGGTTCAAGTCACTCCTTCCTCAGCCCGGAGCTGCCTCTCCTCGAGCTCCAGGCTCCCAGTTGTGGCCAGTTGGAAGCGAGCGTGGCCAAAGGGATGCGGGGCCAAGTGGAGCGGTTCATCACCAGGGTTAAGGTTTCCTTGGCAGTGGCTCTGTGTGAGTCACATCCCCAACCCTCTGCCTCCAGTTTCCCTTTGCTTACAGAATCCTTCCTTAGTCACAGGATACTCATGGAGATTATCAGGGTTCCTGCAACCTGGAGCCGGTTGGCAAGGAGCCCTTCCTCCCACACGGAAAACCCTGCTCATCCTCGGGATTCCTCTGCACAGATGAGCACAGAGCTGTTGTTCTGAACCTCTCCCTGCTGGGAAATCACTCCTTGCTGCCTGAAATACCGGGCTTTGGTGGTTCCTGACCGGGCCAAGCCCGATCCAAGGCTGCTTTCCTGCACCTTGTGCGCTGCGTTCATGGCTCTGCAGTTGGCTGCCCCCCCGGTTCCTGCAGAGACTTGGGGGGTCTGAGCCCATCACGCAATGGGAAGCGCTGCTCACGAGGCTCCTGACCCACGGAGCTTGGTTTTGTGTGCAGCGGGCGGATCGGGTTCTCTGCCCCTGTTTGGCTCCTGCTGCCCACCGGGGGGTTCGCTGGAGCGCTGCTCTCTCGAAGCAGAGTTCATTAGGGGAGGCAGGGAGATGGGGCCGAGTTAATGTTCAGCTGGAGGCAAGAGGCACAGCTCGGCCTCTGCAGCAGGAACCAAACATCCTGGTGTAAACAGGCAGAAGCAGCTGGGGGGGAGGCTGAGGACAGCAGCACCAACCGGGGCTCGCTCCAAGGGCGGACTCTGTGCTCCCTGGGGATGCTGTGGCACCGGTTCTGGTGCCCTTCGCTCGCCTGTAGGGGTAGGATCAAGGTACCTGCAGAGTTCTGCCCTGCTGCAGAAGCAGCAAACAGAAACGTGGGCTTTGTGCTACGTTCTCATCGCCGATCTTCTCTTTAAAGCTTCCTTTTGGGTAGTCAGTGATGGCGCTCGGCTTGTTGCTGACCCGCAGCAGAGCGTTGCCTTTCTCATGAGCTCTCCCTCTTCCTTCCCTTGCAGGATTGAGTTCCAGAACAAGTTCTACACCGGCACTGGATTCAAGTTCCTCCCTTTCTCCTTCGATACCATCCGCGAGGGGAGGTTTGACGATTGAGTGTCCCCCCTTCAGCAGTGCTCCTCGTGGCCAGCCCTGTCCCGTGTGTCCCAGTTGCATGTAACCCTCCCATAGTGAACGTAACTTATTGCAGCACCCCAGAGCTTTGTCTCCGGGGTAGTGAGTGACACTGGATCAAACTCTTATCCCTTAAGTTTCCCCCTGCAGATAGCAAATGCACGAGGTGGGTGAGCGGGGCTGTGCAGCGTGCCCTCGGGGTGGGCATCGGGGCAGGACAGGGATGCAGCCACAGCTCAGGGCCCACACAGCACACGGAGAAAGGGCTGAAACCCCTCACAAAGCTGCTCGGGAAGAGGAAGTTTGATGTGTGGCTCCCACGTCCCTGCCTCTGAGCAAACAAAGTGGGAGCAGGCAGCAGCCTCGGGGCTCCCGCGTGTGCTGTGCTCCCATCTGTCTCACCCCGGGCAGGGATTCGGCTCCTTGAGGTACCGGTGATGGTGGTGTCAGCGTGCTGGGGTGCTGAGGAGCCCTTAGGGCAGAACAGAGGCTGGGCTCTCGCTGCCATTTCCCCGCAGTAGCTGTTGCTTTGTCTCATGTGCAAGATGTGAATAGTTCCTCACCCTCCTCACGTGGATGTAGCTGTAGGAGCAGTGATGTGCGTGTGTGTTAGTGCTGTGTGCAACTGTCGTGTTTAACTCCGTGCAGCTCAAGTACTTGTGTGTGACCACGTTAGAACAATACTGAGGGTCACTGTAACCCGCAGTGGAAGGGGAAAGGCCACGCAGGGCTGGTTGGGTCAAGTGATGAGCATGGGGTTTGTGCCGCACGTGGCTGCATGGTCACAAGGGTGTTTGCAGAACCAGAGCTGGAAGCAGGCCATGGCTGCGGGTGCATGCTCACGGTCACTGTGTATTAAACCAACTGCACAACAACGAGCCTGGCCTCCCTCCTGCTTCCCCTGCGCTCAACGAGCTCCTCTGCCCCTCTTCCTCCTGTTGGGGTGAGCTGGGGTCTTTATCCATGGATGGGCTGTGGAAGGAGCCCGGTGTAACCGTGCCCTGTTCGAGCATCCCGGTGCTGCGGGGCTGGGCAGGGGCTGGTTTGTCCTGGAGCTGAGGCTGGATTGAACCTGGGCTCTGGGGGTGCCTCTGCCGGGTCGGGGCTCCTGCCCCGCTCCGCTCCCCGCTGTTTGTTCGAGGCCTTTCCTGCCCGAGGGGTTTTCCGCGTGTGCAGGAGCGGGAGGGGGGTTCCGGTGGGTTCCGGTCGTTGTGTCCCTTGGTGGAGGGGGGGGGTGAGGATCCCGGTCCTGCCGCTGCGCTGGGACCGATCCCGCGCTGCTGCCGGTGCCCGCTCTGCCAGGGGCCGCGCTCCCTTTCGGCCCGTGCCCCGGCCCTTGCCGCACTCCCGCTGCCATCACCGGGTTTCTCCCGTTTCCATCACCGGGTTTCTCCCGTTTCCATCACCGCGTTTCTCCCGTTTCCATCACCGCGTTTCTCCCGTTTCCATCACCGGGTTTCTCCCGCTGCCATCACCGGGTTTCTCCCGTTTCCATCACCGGGTTTCTCCCGTTTCCAGCCCTCCCCTGGGCCGCCTGCACGGCTCCGGTGCCGCCCCCCGCTCCCGGTGTTGCAGCGCCCTCTGCCGACCGCAGCGGGTCTCGCTCGATCCCGGGGACCCTGCGCCGGGCACCGCCGCTTCCCGGGGCTCCGAGGCGGCTCCGGGACCGCGGGTGGGGAACGCGGTACGGGACCAGCCCGGATCCCCCGGTGGGGTGGGGGGGGGAGGCCCGGCAGGAGCCCCGCTTCCGCCCCGCCGGTCCCAGCCCAGCCCCGCCCCGGCCCCGCCTCCGGCGCTGGGGCAGGAGCGGTGATGGCGGCGCGGTGGGGCCCGGCGCTGGGGCCGCTGCTGCTGTTGCTGCTGCTGCCGCTGCCGCCGGCGGGCGCGGGGGATGCGCGGCAGGAACAAGCGGTGCGGGCGCTGGCGCGGCGGCTGCTGGGCCCGCGGGCCGCCGCCGTGGCGCTGTCGGTGGAGCCGGCGCTGTCGGAGGACGGCACCGACACCGACACCTACCGGTTGCGCTCCCCGCCCGGCGCCGCCGTGGCCGTGGCCGTGACGGGCTCCAGCGGCGTGGCGGCGGCCGCCGGCCTCTACCGGTACCTGCGCGACTTCTGCGGCTGCCACGTGTCGTGGTCCGGGGCGCAGCTCCGCCTGCCCGATCCGCTCCCGCGGCTGCGGACCGAGATCCGCGCCGCCGCCCCCGGCAGGTAACGGGGGCCCCAGCGCGGCGGGGCCGGGCGCTGCTCACGCCTCGTTACCCCGGGACAAGGCGTCCCTTGTGGAACGGGGCCGGGAACCGGGGGGCCGGGGGCCCATCCGCAGCCTCCCGCCCGCTCCGCAGGTACCGGTACTACCAGAACGTGTGCACCCAGAGCTACTCCTTTGCGTGGTGGGACTGGGCGCGCTGGGAGCGCGAGATCGACTGGATGGCGCTCAGCGGCATCAACCTGGCCCTGGCCTTCGTGGGGCAGGAGGAGACCTGGCAGCGGGTTGAGTATCCCAGGGCCGAGCAGGGCCGTGGGGCAGCTGTGGGGCAGGCGTGGGGCCGGCTGAGCCTCCGCTGCCCGCGCAGGTTTACCGCTCGCTGGGCCTGAACCAGACGGAGATCGACGCGTACTTCACGGGGCCGGCGTTCCTGGCCTGGAACCGCATGGGGAACCTGCATGGATGGGCAGGGCCGCTGCCGCCCGCCTGGCACCTCAAACAGCGCTACCTGCAGGTACCACGCGAGCCCCTGCCCTGGTCCTGCATGCACATCCACACCTTGGAGCCTCGGAGCCACCATCCTCTTCGCCCAGGCCCCTCACAGGGAGGTTGGGGCTCCTCTGCCCCCCTGCTCCCTCCCTCTTTCTCTCTCCCAGTACCGGATCGTGGAGAGGATGCGCTCGCTGGGGATGCTCACGGTGCTGCCGGCCTTCGCGGGCCACGTGCCCCAGGGGGTTCTGCGGTAGGTGCAGCCCCACGTGCTCACAGACCCCGCGGGGCAGATCAGCTCCGGTCCTGCCTCCATCCCTTGGGATGCACAGGGCGCTCCCGAGGCCAACACAGCTCCTGGCCCTCGTGCCTGTGCTGGCTTCCCTATGAGGCTGCCCCGTGGTGCTCTCGTCCCGCTCCTGATCCCTTCTCTGCCCTTGGCACAGGGTTTTCCCACGCGTGAACGCCACTCGCCTCGGGGGATGGAGCCACTTTGACTGCACCTACTCATGTACCTACCTGCTGGACCCGCAGGACCCCATGTTCCAGGTGATCGGGACCCTCTTCCTGAAGGAGCTCATCAAGGAGTTTGGCACAGACCACATCTACAGCGCCGACACCTTCAACGAGATGACCCCGCTCTCCTCCGACCCTGCTTATCTCTCGAGGGTCAGCAGCGCCGTCTTCAGGTCCATGACGGGAGGTGGGTCACCGGGGCTGAGCGGTGGGGACAGCGGGAGGGTGGCTGCGGGCCCCACACGGGCTCAGACCCATGGGTGCCAGACCCTCGGCATCGCTCTGAGAGGTCGCTCGGTGGCTCTCGGGGCCCTGCCTGCAGGAGCCCTCACCCTGCACCTTCGTCCCCAGCCGACCCCGAGGCGCTGTGGCTGATGCAGGGCTGGCTCTTCCAGCACCAGCCTGAGTTCTGGCAGCCGGCGCAGGTGCGGGCGCTGCTGCACGGCGTGCCCCTCGGCAGGATGATCGTTCTTGACCTCTTCGCCGAGTCCAAGCCTGTGTACCAGTGGACAGAGTCCTTCTACGGGCAGCCCTTCATCTGGTGCATGCTGCACAACTTCGGGGGCAACCACGGCCTCTTCGGCACCGTGGAGGCCATCAACCGCGGCCCCTTCGCCGCCCGACGCTTCCCAAACTCCACCATGGTGGGCACCGGCGTGGTGCCGGAGGGCATCGAGCAGAACGACATGGTGTACGAGCTGATGAACGAGCTGGCCTGGCGCCACCAGCCCCTGGACCTGCCCCGCTGGGTCTCCCGCTACGCCGAGCGCCGCTACGGTGCCGCCAACGCCGCCGCAGCCAGCGCCTGGCGCCTGCTGCTCCACAGCGTCTACAACTGCACCGGCGTCTGCGTGAACCACAACCGCAGCCCGCTCGTGCGCCGTCCCTCGCTGCGCATGGACACGGAGCTCTGGTACAACGCCAGCGATGTCTACGAGGCCTGGCGCCTGCTGCTGAGCGCCGGCGCGGAGCTGGGCTCCAGCACCGCCTTCCGCTACGACCTGGTGGACGTGACGCGCCAGGCGGCTCAGCAGCTCGTGAGCGGCTTCTACCAGAGCATCCGCGGCGCCTTCCGGAGCCACGCGCTGCCCGAGCTGCTGGCGGCCGGCGGCGTCCTGCTCTATGACCTGCTGCCGGAGCTCGACCGCCTCCTCTGCAGCCACAGCCTCTTCCTGCTGGGCCGCTGGCTGGAGAGCGCCCGCGCCGTGGCCACCAGCGCCCGCGAGGCCGAGCAGTACGAGCTGAACGCCCGGAACCAGCTGACGCTGTGGGGACCCAACGGGAACATCCTGGACTACGCCAACAAGCAGCTGGGGGGGCTGGTGCTGGATTACTACGCCGTGCGCTGGAGCCTCTTCGTGTCCGCGCTGGTGGAGAGCCTCAACTCGGGCACCCCCTTCCACCAGGACCAGTTCAACCAGGCCGTGTTCCAGGTGGAGAGAGGCTTCGTGTACAACCAGAAGCGGTACCCAGCCCTGCCGGCCGGGGACACGCTGGACATCTCCAGGAAGCTCTTCCTCAAGTACTACCCCGGCGCCCGCGCTGGAAGGCTGTGACTTGGACAGAGCCCCCCCTGTCCCCCGTGTCCTCCATCCCCTGGACCCCTGCTTCCTGCACACGGAGGGGGGGGAGCTGGCGGCCGGATCGGGGGCAGGCTCTGCCCCAGGGACCCCTCCTGCGTCGTGCTCAGTGCTCAGCCCTGAGCAGCAGCCCCAGGGAAAGGGGGGACTTGGTCCTCCCTGGGCTGAGTGCTCCCTGCTCCATGGACCCCAGTGCCTGCGGGGACCCCCCCCCCGCTTTGTGCCTTTTGTACTGAAAGAGACTTGGAGGAGGTTTCTGCAGGGCCGCGCTCCCCAGGACAGGGATTCCGAGCCCTGCCCGGCTGGGGAGCAATTAAAACCCTGGCCGCTGAGTGCTTTGTTCCTGCCCTTGCGTGTCCATCCCCCTCTCCCCAGCGGGCTCAGCGCTGTCAGAGGGGGAGCCTGGCACGGCCCAGCCCGGCACAGCCAGCGCCAACCCCGGGGCTGCGGCTCCCCCCCTGCCCCGGTCTCCTCCCGTGGGGGGTCCTGGCTCGGTGGCTGCAGCTGCACCAGCATCAAGGCGCAGGGGAGGTGGGCGGAAGGGCCTTGAGATAAGGCGTCAGACACAACACCGGGGCGGGGGCACCCCCCTGCCAAGCCCTCATAAACGGCGCGGCCGCCGGAGCCGGCACCGCGGGGCCATGGAGAGAAGCACGGTGCTGATCACGGGCTGCTCCTCGGGCATCGGCCTCGGCCTGGCCGTGCGCCTGGCGGCCGATGGCGGCTTCAAAGGTGAAGGGGTGATGCTGCACCGGGGAGGGGGAGACCGACACAGGGGGTCCCAGGGCAGCCGGTGCTTGGGGTGAGCTGTGACCGGCACCGATGGCACCGCGGCCACGCTCTCTCCGGCAGTGTACGCCACCATGCGGGACCTGGCCAAGGGCGAGCGGCTGTTGCAGCTCCTCGGGGGCCGCTGCCCCGACACGCTGGAGGTGCTGCAGCTCGACGTGACCGACCCGCGGTCGCTGGAAGCCGCCGCACGCCGGCTGCAGGGGCAGGCGCTGGATGTGCTGGGTACGGCTCTTGCAAGGGGTCCTCATGGGGGCAGTGGGACCCTCCCCAGGGCAGTGCCAAATGATGGGAGGTGCCGGCGGTCCTGGGGCTGGGATGTGTTCAATGGGGCAGGGGTGTGGGAGCTGGGTTTGGGGGTTTTCAAGGGCTTCCGGCACCTTGAGGGGGCTGCAGGGCTGGCTCACTCGTGCTGTGCCCGGCAGTTTGCAACGCTGGGGTGGGACTGATGGGTCCCCTGGAGACCTGCTCGGACCAGGACGTGAAGAACGTGTTTGATGTGAACCTCTTCGGGGCCATCCGCACCATCCGGGCGTTCCTGCCCGCCATGAAGCGCCGCAGGGCCGGGCGCATCATCGTCTCCAGCAGCATCGGGGGGCTGCAAGGTGGGACCCCCGGCACCCTGCGACCGGGGGAACCGCAGGGGAAGGGCCCCCGGTGCTCAGCCTGCGGCTCTGCCCCAGGGCTGCCCTTCAACTCCGTGTACTGCGCCAGCAAGTTCGCGGTGGAGGGGCTGTGCGAGAGCCTGGCCATCGTCCTGCGGCCTTTCAACATCCAGTGAGTGCCGCGGGGGGCTGCGCTCCTGCCGCCAGGCACCGCGATGGGGGGGGACCAGGCAGCTCATGCGCTCAGCTCCGTCCCGCAGCCTGACGCTGGTGGAGTGCGGGCCCGTGAACACGAGCTTCCTGAGCAACCTGCGGCGCCCGGACCCCGACGGCAGCGAACTGCAGGGCCTGGACGCCGAGACGCGAGGTCTCTACCGCCGGTACCTCCGGCATTGCCAGGGGCTCTTCCGCGCCGAGGCCCAGGAGGTGGAGGAGGTCCTGCAGGTCAGGCGGGGTGCGAGGGGGGGGGCCGGGGTTGGGTCGGGTCCGTGTCGCGGGGCCGTGGCTCTGAGACCCCTCTGCGGTTCAGGTGTTCCTGGAGGCCATGGGCAGCCCCCGTCCCCCCCTGCGCTGCGCCACCACGCAGCTCCTGGCGCCGCTCGCACGGCTCCGCCTGACCGACGGCTCCGCGTACGTCCAGGCCATGCACGACTTCGTGTTCGGCCGCCGCGAGGCCGGCGGGGACCAGCCCTGACCGGGAGCCCGGGGCAGCCGCTCTGCGACAGCGGGCGGGGGGGATCGGGTCCCACCGTGTCACAAATAAACCCGCTCGCAGCGCACGCTCCCGGCTCCGTCCCTCTCAGCGACCCCAGGGGCTCCGCGGGGCCGGGTCTCTCTGTCCCCTCCCTCGAGCGGGCGGAGCCCGGCCCCGCCGCTCGCCTCTCACCGGGGCTCGGTCGCGAGAGGCGGGGCTCGGGGCGGTCCCGTTGCACGTTCCGGGTCGCGGGGGCCCGCGGCTTCCGGGGGCTGTCGGGGGGTGGGGGGGGCGATGCCGCCGTTCGGGTCGGGGCTGCTGGTGCTGACGGCTCCGCTGGCAGCGCTGCCCCGGCGGGCGGCGGCGGCGCTGGCGGCGGCCGCGGGGCTGGTGGCGGGGCCGCTGTACGTGCACCTGCAGCCGGGGCTGCGCCTCGCCGCGGCCCCGCCGCCGCTCCCCGCGGCCCCGCCGCCCGCCGGCCCCGCGCTGCTGCGGGCTCTGGCCGCGCTCTACGCGGCGGCGGCGCGGCGCGGGATGGACGTGCGCGTCCTGCTGGACCCCGGCCGCCGCCTGGCCCGGCCGCCCCGCGTCCTGCTGCTGCCCGCCAACGAGGCGCCGGGGCCGCCGGGGCCGGTGCAGCTCGGGCTGCAGAGCTTGGCCACCGCCGCCTACGGCTGCGCCCCGGACCTGCCCGCGCTGCTGCTGGGGGACCCCGCGGGGGACCTCGATGGGGACCCCAAGGAGGATCCCGAGTGCGGCCCCGATGCGGCGCTTCCCAACTTCTCCGGCGTGGCGGTCGGCGGCACCTTCGACCGCCTGCACGGCGCCCACCGCCTCCTGCTCAGCACTTGCTGCCTTCTGGCCCGGGACCGGCTCCTGGCCGGGGTGGCCGACGGTGACCTGCTCCGCCGTGAGTCCCGGGGCGGCGGCACCGTGCTGGGACGGGGGGGGAGCTGAGGGCAGCGGGGCCCGGCTGCTGGTGGGAGGCCGGGGTGGGGTGTGGGGGGCTACCAGAGAGCGGCCAGAGCTCCGCGGTGGTGCTGCCCGGGGCACGGTGACAGCAGGGATAAGGCATCATGTCCATAGGAGCGAGGGAGGCGGGAGGGGGCTGCTTCCCAAAGCCGCAGGCGGGTTTTGTCTCCATCTCCCGGTCTGCTGCTTTCCATCACTGCTCTGGGAGCTGCCCGCTGTTAAACACTGTCCCGGGCTCTCTGTGCTCCCGGTGCCCGCAGACAAGGTCCTGATGGAGCTGATCGAGCCGTACGAGCTGCGGGTGGCAAAGCTGCGCGAGTTCCTGGAGGACGTGAAGCCGTCGCTGCGCTACGACATCGTGCGGCTCATCGACCCCTACGGTCCCAGCGTCACCGACCCCGACCTGCAGTGCCTGGTGGTCAGCCAGGAGAGCCGCCGTGGTGGGGAGGCCGTGAACCGGCTGAGACTTGAGAATGTAAATGGCTGCGGTGTGCCCCGGCCCGGGCTCAAGGGCATCCTGTCCCATAGAAGCTGCCTTCCCCTCTGCTGCTGCGAGTGTGCCCCCCGGGGACGGAGCTGCCTCGTGGGGACACTTTGGGGCAGCCGCAGCCGTGTTTGTGCTGCTGCACTGAGGCCTGGAGCCCCGTCCCCTCGCGGTGTCCCCGCTGCTGACAGCCCTCGGGGCTCTCCTCTCGCAGGGGCTCCCCGCGCTGGCTCTCTATGAGATCCTGCTCATGCAGGACCCCGACCACAGTGAGAACGAGGAGGAGAAGATCAGCTCCTCCAGCCTGCGGCACCGGCTGCTGGGGACGCTGCTGCAGCCCCCACGGGTGAGGGGGTCTCGGGGAGCTGCGGGGAACCGCGTGCCCTGGAGGAGGGGGCAGCCCCAGGCCCTGCTGCAGGGGATGTGTTCTGGAGGCCCCGCTGCCCACGCTCTGCAGCGCCAGCACCTTCTGTGCCCGTTTCCAGGCCGGGTGTGTGGGATCCTTCTCCAGCAAAGCCGTGTTCTCCCTGTGCTGGCAATGGGTTTCCTTCTCCCCATAGCAAGACCCTGCCCTGCCTTCGCACCCATACGTGATCGGCCTGACGGGAGGAACCGGGAGTGGGAAAACGTCCATCGCCAGGCTCCTGGGCGGCCTGGGAGCGTTCCTCATCGACGCTGACAAGCTGGGCCACGCTGTCTATGTCCCCGGTGGCCCTGCCTACAAGCAGGTGGTGGCGACCTTTGGTGCAGGTAGAGCCACGGAAAGCTCTGGGGAAGGCGGGGAAAAGGAAGAGGAGGGAGGGATGCGCCAGCATCCCAGGGAGCCGGCCTGGGCTGTGCCTGCTGGGATCTGTAGCTCATTCAGTGGTAGCTGGGCTGGGCAGGACAAAGCACTGCTTCCCCCACGTCTTGCACGCCCCATGGCAGAGCTGCTGCAGGCAGTGCAGGAGGCTGAGCCGGGCTGCTGCTCATCTGGGGAAAGCTATTCCCTGTCTTTCTGGAGTAAGCTGCCAGGTCAGGTCCTGCAGCTCCTTTCTGGGTCCGTCACTGCACATTAGGCTGGCCACAGGGAAGGGAGCTGGGTTCATTCCTCCCAAGCCTGTTCTGCTTCTGTCTTGCAGAAATCTTGTCTGAAGATGGGACAATCAACAGGAAAGTCCTTGGGGCCAAAGTGTTTGGAAACCAGGTAGGAGCAGCACGGGCACAGTCAGGGTTTAATCTCCATCCCTGACGTACGCGGAGCCAGTGCCCCCAGAGGTTTGGGTCAAGTTGTGGTCCTTTCTAGGAGCGGCTGAAGAGCCTCACAGACATCGTGTGGCCCGAGATAGCGCGGCTGGTGAAGGAGCAGATCAGGGAGGCAGAAGCTCAAGGTAACCGAGCACAGAGCGGGGAGTTGGGTGCGTGGCCTTGTGCAGCAGCTCAGGACACAGCGCCCTGCGGAGCGGCTGCTTTGGGCAGTGTTCTCCCTGCTCAGACCCCTCTCTGCTGGGCAGAGGCTTTCACTGGCACATCTCTGAGCAAACCCCCACCTGCGCTGGGCCAGGCTCAAGGACCTGGAGTGTGGCGAGGAGGAAGTCCCATTGCCTTGCGACCGCAGGTAGTGAGGAACGTCCTCATCCCACAGGCAAAGCCGTGTGCGTGCTGGACGCTGCCGTGCTGCTGGAGGCTGGCTGGCAGGACATGGTCCATGAGGTGTGGACGGCCGTCATCCCGGAGGACGAGGTGGGAGATGCCCCTCGGCCTGTCCCTTGCCGCTGGGGCCGGTCCTCGGTTTCCCATCAGAGCGCCTGAGGTCCCCGTGGTCCCGGCAGGCCGTGCGGCGCGTGATGGCGCGGGACGGGCTGAGCGAGGAGGCGGCTCGGAGCCGGCTGCGGAGCCAGATGAGCAACGGGCAGCGCGTGGAGCGGGCGCACGTCGTGCTCTGCACGCTGTGGGAGCCCGACATCACCCGCAAGCAGGTGAGCGCCGGGGGCTGCCCTCAGGGTGCGGGACACGGGGGTGCTGCTGCCCATGAGGGAGGCTCTGGGGGTGCAAACGCAGCAGGGGCGTTTCCAGTTCTGGGCCCCTCAGTTCAAGAAGGACAGGGAGCTGCTGGAGAGAGTCCAGCGCAGGGCAACGAAGATGATTAAGGGAATGGAGCATCTCCCTTATGAGGAAAGACTGAGGGAGCTGGGTCTCTATAGTTTGGAGGAGACTGAGGGGTGACCTTATTAGTGTATATAAAGGGGGAGTGTCACGAGGATGGAGCCAGGCTCTACTCAGTGGCAAACAATGATAGGACAAGGGGTAATGGGTACAAACTGGAACACAAGAGGTTCCACTTAAACTTGAGAAGAAACTTCTTCTCAGTGAGGGTGACGGAACACTGGAACAGGCTGCCCAGGGAGGCTGTGGAGTCTCAAAACCCGCCTGGACACATTCCCGTGTAACCTTACCGAGGTGTTCCTGCTCCGGCAGGGGGATTGGACTAGATGAGCTTTCGAGGTCGCTTCCAATCTCTAGCATGCTGTGATGCTGTGATGCTGCTGTGGTGCTGTGATGCTGCTGTGGTGCTGTGATGCTGCTGTGGTGCTGTGATGCTGCTGTGGTGATGCTGTGATGCTGCTGTGGTGCTGTGATGCTGCTGTGGTGCTGTGATGCTGCTGTGGTGCTGTGATGCTGCTGTGGTGATGCTGTGATGCTGCTGTGGTGCTGTGATGCTGCTGTGGTGCTGTGATGATGCTGTGATGCTGCTGTGGTGCTGTGATGATGCTGTGATGCTGCTGTGGTGCTGTGATGATGCTGTGGTGCTGTGATGATGCTGTGGTGCTGTGATGCTGCTGTGGTGCTGTGATGATGCTGTGATGATGCTGTGATGGGGACGGTGCCCGCCGTGCCCGCGGCTCTGAGGTGCGCGCTCTGCCCGCAGGTGGAGAAGGCCTGGGAGCTCCTGCAGCAGCGCCTGCCCCAAGCGCGCAGCGCCTGAGGGATCCGCGCCTCCTGCCCGCAACCCCCGCACCGGAGGGGCCCGGCCCGGCCCGGCCCGGCAGCCCCGCCGAGGAGCGCCCCCCCCCCCCCGTCCCGCCGGGCCCTGCGCGGGGCCGCGGCGGCTCCGCTCCCGGTCCCGGTCCCGGTCCCGTTCCGCAGTAAAGGAGGAGGCGGCTGCCCCCCCCCCCGCCCGCGGTGCCTGTCACGTGTGCGTGTGTTTTGCGTGGGGCGGGGAGGGCGCCCCCTGGCGGTGCGGCGGAACGCGGCGAATTGCGTTTCCTATTGGCTCTGGCGGTGGTCACGTGAGCGGGGCGGGCGGAAGATGGCGGAGCCGCCCTGCGCCGCGGCCGAGGACGCGTGGGGGAAGGTGGGAGCGGGGCCGGGGCCGGGGATGGGACCGGGGCGGGGGCGGGGGGGGGCTCGGTTGGGTGCGCGCAAGGGGCGGGGGGGAGGGACCGGGACCGGGTGAGCGCGAGGGTCCGGGCCAAAGGTGACCGGGGGGGGGGGGAGCTGCTCCCGGTACCGGGGGGGGGGGTCCGGGCCGCGGTTCCTGCCCCAGCCCCGCTCACGTCTCCGCTCCCGCC